CCTTGTTTTCGGTATTGTGAATGTAAGTTTACATGCATGAATTAAATCAAGTAGTCATTTAATTATTGACAAAGGTATATGTCACTTTGTGATGTGATGATATTGTATATCATGGCAAGTATAGTCTTGTGATTAATATGTTATAATTATTAGGTTTATTAATGCCTTGTTGTCTTGATATAAAAGTTAATGACATATGTTAAATTGATGATTAATTTGATTCAAGTTATTATTCTATGGTATAATAGAATAATAAAACTGCAATGATAAATTGTGTTGTAGTTATAGTGAATTAATCATGAATTTATAATTCCTTGGTTTTGAGGGTTATGAATTATATGTCAAGAATGGTTGATCAATTAATAATAATGAATGTTCTATGGTGAAATAGAATAAAGGTATGCAATGTGTGTCATGGTCTATGACATGAGGATTTTGTATTCACTACTAGAAAACATGCATATAACGACGGAATTTTTCCGTCGGAAACACCCGAAATTCCGTCGGAAATGGGATTTCCGACGGAATTTCCGTCGTAACGGGTCGTCGAAATACATATTGTAAGAAAACCAGCTTTTCCGCCGAAATTTCCGTCGGAAACACTATTCCGACGAAAATTCATCTGTCGGCAGGGATTTTCAGGCCAGAGAAAATCCGTCGGAAAATTCCGACGGAATATAATCCGCCGGAATTTTTCGACGGAAATTCCGTCGTAAAAATGTTTCAAAAAAACAAAAAAAAACAACCACTCTCCACCCCAGACCACCACCCCACACCACCAGTCCTCCCCATCCAGACCCAACCACAACCACACACCACCACCCCACACCACCAGTCTTCCCCCCATCCAGACTTAACCACAACCACACACCACCACCCAACACCACCAGTCTTCCCCCCATCCGGACCCAACCACAACCCACACCACCACACACCACCACCGACCCTATCCCACCACCATACACCACCACCGACACCACCACAACAAAAAATTAGCCCCAAAAACCATAAAATACCCCCACAAACCGTAAATTAACCCAAAAAAAAAATTACACGACTAAAGCAAGAAATAACACACAAAACCAGTAGATCTACATATTTAATCAAAATTTCATAAAATAAAACGATGTTTAATCAACAAAAATTAAATCAACTATATAAATATACAATTATCTATTTAAATTTACAATTTATCATTACAATAACATATAAAATTAACTAGATCTACGAATCTATCCTAAATTAAAACAAGATCTACCAAAAAAGACGGTGGTTGTTGGGTTTGATATTGATGCAGCCCGATTGTTGGTGTTGCGAATCTGTTGCTCGCGATTGATGTTGGTGGTGGTGTGTTGTTGCGGTTGTTGTTGTCGGTCGGGTCCCTATTGCGAATCTCGTTGTTGTTGTCGTTGTTTGTTGTAGGTGAAGAGAAAAGAAACGAAGGAGAGAGAAAGGGCAGTGAAGAGAAGAAGAAAGGAAAAAGAAGGAGAAGAGAAGAGGGGAGAACGAAGGAGAAGAGAAGAGGGGAGAACGAAGGAGAACAGAGGACTGAGAAAGGGGGAACGAAGGAGGGGAGAGAGAGAAGGAGAGAGCAGAAACTTAGAGAGAGAAAGAGAGGCGGAAATAACAAAGGGGGAAGGGGCTGCTTTAGGGTTTGGGAATTTAAGTATAATTTTTTTAATTATTTTCCGACGGAAAATTCCGTCGAAAATTGTAAATTCCGACGGAAAATTCCGTCGTAATTTTCCGACGGACTATAATTCCGTCAGAACTTTCCGACGGACTATAATTCCGTCGAAAATTGTAAATTACGACGAAAAATTCCGTCGGAATTTAAAAGTTCCGGCGGAATTTATATTCGTCTGAAATCCGTCGGAAATTTCACTTTTTGCGACGGAAATTCGGGTCCGTCGGAACAAGTCCGTCGTAATTTTCTTGTTTTCTAGTAGTGTATTGAAATTATTGTAATTGATTATATCAATGTTTAATTTAATTATTGATGTAATTTTATGCCTCTATGGTGATAGCAGTATAATGAAGTGTTTGTTGATTTTGTTTGTGAAATTTATTCAAGTTATATGGATAATGATAATCTCTTTGTGATTATGAGTTTATACTCTTGGTTACAAAAGGGTATATATGCATGTATCAAACAAAAGCTATGTAAGTGGGCGAATATCGCTTATGTGATTGGTCAATTGAATAGGTTCACTAGTAATTCTAGAATGCTATGTTGGCAAACGGTTTATTGTTTGTTGTAGTAATTGTTGAAAATTATGGATTATGGCTTGTGGTTTAGTGGGTATCCTTCGGTTATTGAAGGATATTCAGATGCAAGTTGGATCTCAAATAGAGATTGTTCATTCACAAGTGGATAGGTATTCCCATATGAGGGAGGTGTCATGTAATGGGCATCAAATAAGCTAATTAACTTGCATTGTGCGTTCGATAAGACATTGGAGGTCATTGCATTACATTCCGCTGGTAAAGAAGTAGAATGGTTAAGGGTTTTAATGCATGACGAGATTTCCTTTTTGCAAAAGCCAATATCACTAACAGTGATGAATTATTGGGATAACAATGTAAATTTGGCTAAGGGATATAGCCAAGTGTAAATTATAAAATGGTGAGTTAAGGTATATTGGTGTAAGGTATAGTTACATCAAGGACTTAATAAGGATAGTGTAAAAACTATTGTTTATTTTCATACGAAGTTTAGTCTCGCCGATTGTTTAAAAAGCATGGGTTAGTGATGTTAATAAAAGGATGACAATCATTTTAGATCGGAGCCCCATTGTAATCACAATTAGGAGAATCTCAACTTAACGCCCAATAAGACGTTGGGTCTTAAGTTCAATGAGATCAATTCTCTTATTTGATGATTGGGAACTTGTTTATTCATCCAAGGTTAAGTTCCGGTTTTACTGTGATGAAAAGAGGTTGTTTTAACTTAATATAATTCCTGATATATTGCTCGGTCACAGGAGCATGTTTGGAAGTCTACCTATATAAGTACGAAGTTTAGCCGCTTCAAAAAGCTATTGGGGCATAGCTTTGATGTACTTATGAATAGATATGGACACATGGCTTATAGTGTCAAGCTAATATATATTTAAGTAATTAATCTTGTGTGTGTAATATCTTCAAGTTTCCAAATGTGTTGCTTTTGGTTCAAACGTTTTACGATACCAAATGGATACAGATTCTTGAATTGTATATTGCACTAAGTGGGAGTTCATGTCTATGCACACTTTCATTTATGCATAAGATTGTTTTGTGATGATGATGTTTTTGCAATGAGTCTAGTTTAATTCTCAAAATAGGGGAGGATTGTTGAATAATTTTGAGAATTGGAGACAAAATGACAAGTTAATAATTAATTTACTTAGGCAAAGGTGATGTAATTTAATTATATAAGAATATTAAAGCAAAAGAAAATAAGAACAATGGTGAAGGAAGGATGGCTTACGAAAGAAGCTTGATTTGCAGCCCTCTATGTGCCCGGTCAGCCGACCGGTATGGGTGGTGGTCGCCCGACCGGGCGCGAGAGGGTGTATCTGAAAACCTTCTCAGCCGCCCGATCGGGCAGCCACCGCCCGATAGGGCGTGAGAACGGTGATGCAAATTGCTGGGTTTCTCGCCCGATCGGGCCACCACCGCCCGATAGGGCGCGAGAGCAACCCATTTCCGTCACTCCAATCCGCCCGATCGAGCGGCAGCAGCCCGATCGGGTGCGTGTGTAGGCTGGTTGTTCAATGACGGTTATTTGTAATCGTTGATGGCATTTTTTCTTCGTGGCTTTTGGTTTCTTTTGTTTTGATATAAATATGTTCATAGGAACATATGTGTTAGGATCTTCGTGGAATTTTGTTTTCTTTACTTTTCTTTCTTGAGAAAATTAATTGCAATATTTTTATCATCATCATAAATCCAAAAGCTTTTATACATTGAATTGTAATCATCCTACTTGTGATTGCAATTGTTCTTCGTTGTATCTCCTAAGTAAATTTCCGTAAAACCCGGTTGTAGTATAGGGTCGGAATTATACTTTTGGGAAAGTGATCTCGTTCACGCCTCGAAGATTTTACCAGTTTATTTCATTTGCTATCTTTGTGACCCTTGTTAAACACAAAATCCCCAACAACATATACGGAGTATAATATTTGCTAAATTTTTATTTATCCAAATCTTACACATTGAAAGTATACCCTAGAATTACCATGTAGTGGGAAAAAAATCACGAGTAAAGTTAGTAACACATACTTTGTGTTATGTCTATATGTTCCATGTCTAATTAATTGGGTGTATCACTAAACTTTGGACAAGAATATAATCCTTTATCATTATTTTGTTAAATCACCATTAATAAACTTATATTTTTATCCAAATCTGACACATTTAAAATTATGCAATAAAATTACCATATAGTCAGAGAATAACGTTTAATTTAGCAACAACTACGGGCTTGTTTGACATCAGTTTTGGTTTTCAATTTCCTGTTTTTTCGAAAACCAAAAACAGAAAACAAGAAAAAAGAGTTTTCAATTTTCTATTGCCAGTTTTCATAATTATCATAATTTTAATAAGTTTATAAATTTTTTGATTCATTATGGGACTCATATCATATACTTTTAGAGAATAAAAAACCAAAAAACAGAAAATCACAACAATGCCAAACGAACCCTACATTATTATTTTATTTTTTTGATTCTAAGCAACAACTACATTATTCCTAGCTAAACCCTAAAAGATCCAACGTTGAAATTAAAAAAAAAAAAAAGGAAACAAACCTTTTATAAAACGTTTTCCAAAAGTTCCATTTTCACAGAATATTCCCCCCAAAAAATGTAATTATAACTATAATTAAATTTTAATTAATTCGTAATTAATAGTTCCCCTAATTAACGCGAGTTTGACACGAACTCACGTGACGATTGCTGTTTTGGGTCCCATATTTGCTTTTTTTTCCTATATAAACTTCCTTCACTCTAGCATTCTTTCCTTAATTTAAAAAAATCCGTAATTTTCTCACATTAATTTACAACCGTCTGATCATTTTACTATCTCTCTCTTGATCTCAAACACTTTCTCTCTCTACAATTAGTGTTAAAAACGGTATTTTTTCGTCGCATAATCCTCCAATTTTAGCGACGCTATTAGCTCATCTCTGCCCCTTCACACTTTCTCTCTCCTCTTTTTTACTCTGCTTTTTTCGTGTCTGTAAAGGTCAAGATTCTGGCGCCGCCCCTCGCCGGGGACATCTATTTTAAGTAAGCCTATAAATCTATAATCTGTTTTAGTATAATTTGAATTTATTTTGATTAATTTGTCATTTTTAGTTGTTATTTTTCTAATGTTGTAATTTTTATTTGAGTATTTTGAACTGGGTTGTTTGATTTTGAGAAATTTGTGATATGGGGTTGTTTGATTGATTGATTTTGGGAGTTTTCTAGTTATATTGCTCAAATTAAATTTGTGGGTTTTTTTAATTTTGATTTTTGTTACAATTTATTACATTATGTGGTTGAGATTCATACTGATTTTTTTACAAGAAAAAATAAAATAAGAAGCTGTAATAATATGAATTGTATTTAATTAGATTGGGAAGAATATACTTGAAAAAAAAAGGAAAAAGTTTGCTGGTATATTGGTGGTTCACTATTTTTGACAATTATTTGGTCAAAAAGTTCATGTATTGAAAGTGGTGTTCCATGTTGTGCTGAATTTTTCTATTTTTATTGATTTTAATAATGTTTTAAGGAATTTGAACTTAATATTTTATGTATTTAGTCACAATTTTGCAAATTCTTGAATCAGAAGGTCTAACATAGATTTGGGGTTTTTTTTAATTGAAATTTGAAAATTGGCTTTTACTAATTAGAGATTGTACTTTTGGGTTTTGAATTGAAATTGAAATTTGCAAGGTTAAAGATGGTTTTACTGGTAATGTAGTATACAAGAAAAGAGCCAGAGCACTTTCTTCTAGTGGTTGTGGATCTCTTGCTCTTTAAATATGGGTTGCTTTCATTCTACTGCAAGTAGGCAATGTCCCGGACACGAAGACCCGGTTTTCCTTGCTTCTCAAACTGCTTGTAAGCTCCTCCATCTATATTTACTTTAGATGTATGCTTTCGATTAAAAGTTTGTGATCGTTATGAACTCGACAACCCTCTAATCTTGATTGGGCTTTCATATTACCTGATTGTATGAGTAGAATATATGATATTATGATTGGTGAGGTTTGGGCTGGAAGAACTAAAATGAATTTTACTTTCTTTTCAGTTAGTGTTAGTGAAGTCGAAGCGTTGTTCGAGCTGTTTAAGAGCATAAGCAGTTCTGTGATTGATGATGGGCTTATTAGCAAGGTATACAATAATACTATGTTGGCTTTAAATTTGGTTGCCTTGTGACTTGTGTTAGTTTGTGAGGCATGTGAAACTTCTGTTTCATATGCATGTGTATGCTGAAATCCCCTGCAAGGTTGTACTACTTTTTAAGGTTTTTTTATTCAGCTTAAGTTGTAGTAAAGATTCACTAAGATTTTAAGGACATTATTATAGTGTCAATTAGATGTTGACTATGAGCTTATACAAATCTTGATTCAATCCCAATCCTGACAAACATGTCTGGATTTAGGGTCTTGAGCAAGAACGTTCTACCCAAAATCGATTGTGCAACATGATGTAACTGAAAGATATTGGATCAAAGATTCAACCAGAAACTGAACGAACACAAATTATTTATAATGAATATGTCCTAGTGTTTTAACTTTTATGTCTTGCGTAATTGGAGATTTGGAGTTGGGTTTTGATTCTTGTATCGTAGCTTCTCAATTGCATCCTTAATTTCTGTATATCCTGTGCATATGAAATATTTCTGGACTATGTATGGCTTTCCCTTACCATGTATGGCTTTCCCTTACCATGTATGGTTGTATGTATGTTTGCAGGAGGAATTTCAGTTAGCTTTGTTCAAAAACAAGAAGAAAGAGAATCTTTTTGCTAATCGGGTATGTTGCTACTGATGTTGTACATTGAAGACACTACACCTTCAGCTATATTCTTATTTATCCATTTGTAATTTGATAATTTATGTCTTGTAAATATTATGTTAGACCCTTAATAACTGCGAATCCTTTTGTACACAGATCTTTGATTTGTTCGATGTTAAAAGGAAAGGAGTAGTTGATTTTGGTGACTTTGTCAGAGTGTTGAACGTCTTCCATCCTAATGCCTCTCAAGAAGACAAGATAGACTGTATGTAACCTAGCTTTATACAAAGTCTCTCTAACATTGTCCTACATATTGTATATCTGAAACCTGGGTCATGCATACATATTTACAGATTTAACACTCATTCTTTTTCTATTGCAGTCACATTTAAGCTTTATGATCTGGATGGCACAGGATATATTGAGCGTGACGAGGTATATCGGGTTTGCTATCCCCTAATCTTTAACCCTTAACTTTCATTTTCCCATTTTTTTTTAAAAAATCCTTGATGTCTGAACAATGTCTTGTTTTACTTTGCAATACTGTGGACCCTGCTTCAAGGGATCATAATTTTGCGCAATATGGTTGTCGGCTTCTGTTGTTGTTTGGCTTTAGCCAGACAGATCTTCATTCAATGCCTATTGTCTTGTTCCTTGTGAGGTGATTTTTGCCTCACAGTTTGCAGTTGAGGTGGGGAGAGTTATGTTGGCATGTTTGTTTGATTCATTCTTTTAATCCTTAAACATTGCTCAATGTGATTTTCGTTCTTATAACCTTTAATTATCATTGTGCACTACACTATAGTGATTGTGGAATTAATAAACTAGTGATTAAGCAGGCCTCAACACCAATACTTTTCCATCCGCCAGTGCAATTTAGTGTGATGCTTCGCTGGGTGATCCTTTAGGTTGCATAGTAGTGCCTTTGTTGTCTTAGTTGTTCTTGTGTGCACTTGATCATAATTCTACATGCTTTGTAAAAGCACACTTTTATACCTTGCAAGTTAGCAAGTTTGTTATACAAAGTAATATTCATATGAGCTGATATATATTTTTGCAGGTGAGGCAAATGTTGATCGCAATTCTATGTGAATCTGAACTAAAGTTGGCAGATGAAACAATCGAACAAATACTTGATAAGGTAAGGGTAACACATTTCCACATGTATTCTTGAAGCTAATTAGTTATCATATAAACTGGAGACTATTCTTTGTTTCTGCAACCTAATTAATCATATATATGGTTTTTTGAACAGACATTCAAAGAAGCTGATGTAAATCTAGATGGAAAGATTGATAAATCCGAGTGGCATCAGTTTGTGACGAAAAATCCTTCATTGCTAAAAATAATGACACTCCAATATCTCAGGTATTATGGGGTGATTTTCTCTTGTAAGCTAGCTGTGTACCATTATGTGCACACATATCTTTGAGGGTGACTCATCCTGATTTGGTTTTGTTTACCTGGGAAACTCATACAGGGATATCACAACTACATTTCCTAGTTTTGTTTTCCATTCAGAAGTTGATGAAATGGCCACTTAAGGAGCTGATAAAAGCTGCTTGCAGTCCCGTTAAATTTGATCCCTGGGGCAGATTCTGCACATATAGCTAGACCCCCCCTTATTTTTTTTGTCCCCTTGAACTATTGTTATCCCAACCATTAAGAAGAGTTGAGGTGTGCTTAAGGTAGCCTGTGCATATGGTTTGTGTGTCGAAAAGTTGAGATGTGCCGTATCAGTTGTGCTCTGGCTTTCTAGTTTTAGTTTGTTAGAATTAGAGAAAGAACATCTATATTAAATGGGAAAAGAGAACATTATATTAATACATTCAAAAGCAGTTTACCTTTTGTCCCATTCTCGGCTTTTCTACCCTATGTACATTATATTTGTGGTTCTACTGAAGCTGTGAATCCTGTGATGGTAGCAACAAACATGCCATCTGCTTATTGAGGCATTGAGATAAATATTGCTGTAGACTATTGACTGTAAAGGATAATTGTTGTCAAAATTGTATAATGTGACAACTAAATTTAGATGGAGATTTTGTATTATGTTTGTTTTTAGACTCGCAAGAACACGTGTTGAACAAACATAATGTCGGAGCGTTTGTAAAGCAATAGGATAGAAGCAAAATGCAATAAGCCAATAATGGAAGCGTGAAGTAGTTGAGTTAGTATCTCTTATGTCGGTATAATTGGTGGTTATGTATCATACTAGTCAATGTTTGGTTTTGTTGGTATAATTGGTGGTTATGTATCGTACCAGTCAATGTTAGGTGCAGTTGGCCTAATAGAGTTGAGGCATGCATGGTAACAACTTGTTTGATGACGCCTCGCGATCGAAACCCTCCAGAGCTGCAAAGAGTAAATGTATAGAGTTGTAAATGGGATATGATCACAAGTCTTTTTGATTTGGACTAATTTAGTAATTACTAACATGGATTTGACAATAGCTGGAAAAAGCTAGATGTATAGTATTTGTTCAATGATTTACCAAAAAACATTGAATGTGAATTTGTGTCGACAATCTTCATTGTCAACTACTCCATAGCTCACTCGCGACTTTTGATTAAGAGCTTTGGAGCGTATAATGTAACTAACAAATTTAATGAATACTTTTATTGATCTCCTTGCATTTTGTAAATCATTTGATCTACTACTAGTGTATTTTTGTGGACAAGGTGCAAACATCATCGACTAGTTTACGATTACATGGTATTTTCGGAAATAAGTCAACATTAGTGGGACTCGCATATTATAAAAGTTATTCACTTATTTACAAAATTGTCATGCTGACTGGGTTGATTGTTGATATATTTACAAAAATGGTAATAAATTTTATTTATCATCAAGATGATTGGGGGCTTCCTCCAATATGTATGTAAAATTGTAAATCTTTAATGGTTTGTAAAATCCTTTTTGTACAGTCTTTTTTTTTTAGGTGTTTCTCCTCTTCTAAACTCATGGGAGGTGGTGGGTGGTAGGGTGGAAGAGTCCAAAAGAAAATTAGTGAATTTTAATTAACTTATAAATTGTACTATAAGTGCAATTGGCTCCTTTGCGTATAAACTTTAAACACGGTATTTGGTTGAGTCGAGCTACTTCTAAAGCCCCCTTTTTTTTTTTTTTTTTTGGTATTCCATCCGATTAACTCTTTGAGCTAATCTGGATTTGGGGATTAATTTTGGGTGATTTGGTTTCAGTCTTCTCCTAAGCACCAACAACCATTTTTTTTTTTCTTTCACAAACTTTAAAATGCAGTAGTAAAAATGACCCTGCATCTGGATATACCAGCCCTTCATACTCTTCTTCATGGTTGGGATAACAATAGTTTAAGGGGGCAAAAAAAACCCTAATGGCAATTTTAGCATTTGTTGGTAGGGATTTTGATGAGATTCTGATAAACCCTACAGATTACCGGCCCAGAAATTTCATCAAAATCCATTCCAACAAATCCTAAAAATGCCGTAAAATTTGCAGAATTTCAGAAGAAGAAAATCGATCGGATTCCCTTCACCACCGCATTTTCTTCGACAATTGCCGCATTCTGCTCAGAATTATCTCAGCTATCCTTTTGCGACAGTGTAGTTTCATTCGACAATTGCCGCATTCTGCTCAGAATTTCAAAGATATAATTCAGGTTAAGTTACAAAATTTTGGCTTTATTATTTAAATTTTCGTATTCATGAGTTGAATTACCTGTAATTTTTTTCTTCTTTAGGTTTAATTTGCATTAATTATAGTATGAAATTTGATCCTGATAATTTTTAGTTCTAATTTGCTTTGTAAAATGAAAATTGCGTCTGATAATTAGTGATTTATTATTGTAATTTTCTGATTTTCCACCTAATTTTTTCATGATTTTTGAAATTTTATCATATTTGATTGATTTTGAGTACATATTTTAGGCATATTACAATAATTATTCTTTTATTTTTAAAGAATAAATCATCTTCTCAATTGTGCATTTTTAGATATTCTGCGATAATTAAATGTTTTTTCATGCAGGCTATGTATTCAATGAATAATGCTGCTACCTGCATTGCTTGAGCTCTGATCTCCAATGCTTCACATTCGAGCATAGCTCGCCTCTCCTCGTCTTCTAAGCGTAAGGTGTCTTTCTGCATACTCCCTTGCATATAGACCTTGAATAATTATGAATGAAAACAGCATAACATTATCACTTGATATGATTTGGGCATTTTTTGTTTAGAATAATTACATTGGCCTTCTATGCTAAATTCCGAGGATTAAACCTTATTTCCCTGCAATAATAGATGGAGTACTTCGAGAATACTAAGTGTTGCAATTGTAGAATCAGAGACAAACCAGGCATGTTAGATTAGCAGTAGGAGCTTGTATTCATGTTGTTGGATTGACTTATATTAGTTTGTTGCTGACAATAAGTTCTTGAACATTTCACATCTCCTCCCCAAAGGAATACTTTTGGTTGGATCAATCTTAGTTGGGAAGCTCTCCTAATTTTCCATTCTTTTAATACTGTGCGAGGTATTTTGGGATGATTAGCTCTTTGAGAATCAGTGGTATATACCCCGGTCAATAGATGGGCCGGTGTAACATCTTTGATAGCCATGAACTTTCATAATACGAGTATAGATAAAATTGAATTTCTTTTCGTTTTACTTGCAGCTGAACTTCATAGGGACATTTACTCATTGTCTGCCTTGCCCTAAAGTCAGCAGTTACCACTGAGAATAAATCCTGTGAAAGGAGCGTCGAGGCAGAATTATAAATGTGCAGTCTTACATCAAAAACCCCCAAATTCAATTTTCGTTAATTTTCTTAGCTCAGTAATTCCATTTAAGATGCATGGACTACTCTGTTCCTCCTCACAACTATGAAATAAGAGTAAGTTTAGAGTGATGATGATTAAGTAATAATGTCTAGGAGAATTAGTGACATATTCAGCAGAGTTGAAAGTGAATTAAAGATCCACTCTATCCTTTGATATGCATGATGATTAAGTTATAATGTCTCATGGAGTATTAAACTGTTTCCTGCCTTTCTTCTTTCATTTGGAGGTTGATTAAATTAGTAAGAAATAGATACAGTTATACAGGCACCAAGACGTGTGGAGTCAAAGCCCTGCAATTAAAATGCTATTATTGTATCTTATGCTGTAAAGAGTTTTTGTAGCAAATTGCTTGTTTTATTGTACGAAGTATTACAAAATGGATTCAGATATCATTATTGGTCTGCTTGTTACACGCTTTAACAACAACAAAAGATTGGTCTGCTTGGAAGTATATTTATTGATGCCTGGCTGCATTTCTCAGAAATTCAACAAGCCCACTGATATATTGTTCCTCGTGCAGCTTTTGATCACCAAAGATTGCTGCAGCTTGCCTAGTTTGAGCTTTAATCTTCTGCGCTTCATCTCCAAGCATGGCTTGTTTCAGTGCATAAGCTATGTCGTCTCCAGAGTATGATCCATCTTCCCTTCTTTCTACTTCAATCCCCAAACCCTTATCTACCATCACCCTTGCATTTAGCCCTTGATCAATAATAAATGGCAACAGTATAAGATTGTGCCCATGTTCTAGTGTCTCTATGATTGAACCCCACCCAGAGTGAAACAATGAGCCCCCAATTGACCGGTGAGCCAAAATTTTGAGCTGCGGTGCCCACCCAAGACACACAATCCCTTTCCCTGATGTTCGCTTCAGAAAGCCTTCTGGTAATGCCTCAGAATCATCAACTGCCCAAGTGGGTTTTCTGAGAGCCCAAATGAATGGCAACTGTGCAAGCTCTAGCCCATTGGCTATCCCATAAACTTCATCTTTTGTGAGTTTATACTCACTGCCAAATCCTACATAGATTACTGATTGAGGGCTCTGTTGATCAAGCCATTTGAAGTTTTCAATCCATGTTTCTTCTGTGATTTTTTCTTCTACTTTGGGTGGTGGGAGCAGGCCTACTGGCACCACAGGCTTGTTAATGAGCTTTTGAAAGAGATCCATGTACTCTCCTTCAAATTCCCTGCAACTGCGAACGCCTACTGCATCACATCCCTGGATTATCTTAGCCAGCCTCTCACCATCTGATATCCCGGATTCATTCATGCTGTAAGCTCCTGCGTGGAATCCTGCTGCCTCGTAACCACGGAAAGCAACTGATTGTGGGAAGATTCCACCCCAGGGAGGTGGGGTTATCAAACTGTCTGGTGTTGGTCTCATTTTTTCCCGACCTTCCCCTGAAAGGTACTCTGGTGGACCCACAAAACACAATGTGGTGGCTGTGTAGACAGAGAAGAACATGAACTTAACATGACATTCCTGAGCAACCTCAGACATCCGATAACCTATGATATCAGAGATTAGCCAATTAGGTGAATTGCTTGAAACAAACTTCTTGACGGGCTCATACAGGAGATCATAAGCCACCTTTAGGTATGGGATCTCATCAAACTGTATGTCAACAGTAGCCTCGGCTCCTTCGAGCAGGACACTATCTGAAACTGTTGGTAACGGGATGCTTACATACTCTATAAGGGAACTTAATTTGGAAGGGATACTAGGAAGCCTCTCAATGTTCCTTGGGGTTGATATGTACGACACTCGTACACCTTTGTTGGCCAAGGCTACGGCGAGCTGGTAGAAAGGGATCATATGGCCGAACGCTGACCATGGAAGCATAACTACGTGAAGATCACTAGAGTCTGTCATCATTGAAGTATGAGAACTCAGTAAATAGTGGAATTTAGTGTAATTTTACAGTGGAATTTCAGACTTTAGTGTAATTTTACAGTGGAATTTCTATAACGTTTCTTATTTTTCTTCTATTTGGGATGAAAGGTTCATATAAAGGCTTGTTTTGATATATTATATCGACATGTAATATTAACTATAAATAATTAAAATCTGTATTTAATTAATGAAATACTACTGTCCGTAAATGGTACAGTATTAAGGATTATAAAAACCATTGAAAGGCAGGTTGCTGTCTTCCTACTCTATTCTAGTCGTAGTGGGTGTGCGGATGCATTATGCATATGCAATTATGCATACTACCGAGTCAATTATTGCATTTTAATATTCGAAGTGCGTATTAAGAAAACCTGCAAGTCCAAGAAAGATTGTAGAGATCTTTTTGGCCTTTAATTTAGCTTATATTATTAAACAAATTTGGGATCGGCAATGTTGTTGGTGTTCAATTTTTATACTCTGTAGACAGTTTTCCAAAAAGGGGATATAATTAAATACTCCCTCTTGTCTCCAAGAAAAAAAAAAAAAAAAAAAAACCTTTCTCCGTTTTCAAATACTTGCTCAATTTTTAAGGCTCACAGATTGATTCAGATTGAGAAATTATTTTCTCTTTATCATAAGGTATAACATCTATTGAGTAAAATTAGACTCAAAATAATTCGGATTTGAGCTAGGTTCACTTCCAAATAAGAAGAAAGTTTGCTCAACCAATATTTTCTATTTCAGAGGTCAGTTTGTGATTTATGGTTAAGTTGAAACAAATTGCTGACCAACTAGTTTAAACATTTGGTGATTAATCAAGATGTTTAAAACTTGTAATAATTAGAGTATCTCCAATGGTTCAATTATAAGGATTTGCTTGCAATTTAAATAAAGTTTCTAGCTACATGCTTACCATTGGAGAACAAAAAATTAGTTCTTAATTTAAATATTAGTTCTTAATTTTTGTTTTTTTTTTTAATTTTTAATTTTTTAATTTTTGAGGAAATATATTTATAGTTCTTAATTTCTAATGGATGTGTATGAAGTAGTATTTTGTCAATGGATCGATTGTCGTTACATGCGTTAAAATATTGAAGGCCTCAGTGTTGCGTAATCACCGAATCATTCATTATACGTCGGCTCTCTTAATTGTGAAAAGACTAGATTACCATTAGAAAATATGTAACATCACTAAATAGATATGGTGCATGAATAATCTGCCTATATTAAGGCTTCTATAAGATACATGGTTGTTAGGCTACCAGTGCACTGCAAGCTGCATTATCCTTTCACACACTGCACCAACTTTTCAGCTATTCTTTCCGTCATTGCTTTGTTTGTTCGGCTTTTTACGGTTTTCATTACACTATAACTTTTCAACTATTCTCTTTATCATTGCTCAATTTGACTTTTTATAATCTCCGTAACAAGTTTTAAAATATAAATATTTGTCTTTGGTTGACCATGGAAGAAGTAACGTTCTACATTCCACTAATATAGCTAAGCCTAACTTTTCAAAATCTTGAATTTTCATTGTAGGCAGTTTTTTCCACATCCGGAAAATAAAACGCCTTATAAATGGGTTTTCTGACGGAAAACAAGGTTTCTGTCGTTATTTGCTTGTTTTCTAGTAGTGTTCAAATGAACTATCATACTTTGGAATTAATATTCCGTTGTTGTTCCTCCCCATTTACGGACTCTACTTTCCGCTTCATCTGCCTGCGAATCAAACACATTCATGCAAATAAGACTAAGATTCTACTCCATAGATTGTAAAGTGATAAAATTATGATGATAGGAATACATAGAACTTACTTCTTTCTTCCAATTAGTGAGGCTTGTAACTATGATCAACACAATAGTTTGTAAACAAATACCACTAAGCATCCCTCCCCAAACACCCTGCATTCAAAAATTGATAATAGCAAACAAATAAATCAAAGATTACTAATTTAAGCTAACTTCGTTAGTACAATATAATATTTTCTCGTTCATGATTACCATAACTCCAAAGCCGAATTTGAAACCAAGAATTAGGCCTGCTGGTAGCCCAAACATATAGTAGCACACGATATTAATGTACGCGAAAAGTGCTTGCCATCCAGCTCCAATAGCAATCCCTTAATCAGCAAAGATGGAAGAAAAAATCAGGATCAACAAACATACAATTAAGGCTAGTAGACTTGATAAAAAGATTGAAATAACATGAACTTGCCTGATAAAACTGGTTGAAGACTATTGAGCAGGAAATTAAATGCCAAGAATAGCGCGAGGCTAGTAGTTTCCTGAGCTACAGGTACACTTGCTGTGAAAAGAAATGGGAACCATTCCTTAGTAACAAGCACTAGTATGACTGCCACCAATCCTACTGCCACTGAAGTTATGGATACTACCCACGCCGATATCTTGGCTTGTCTATGATTACCAGCTCCGAGTTCATTTGACACCCTTACACTATATATAAATATAGAAACAATATAGATATTGATCACATAAAAATGTTTTAAGTTTTTTTCTCAAAAATTTGATTCATCATTTAGTAGTATTAGTACATATTATTGTTAGTGCAAGGAGAGTTACGTACCTAACAGCTGCATTGAAACCAACTGCTATCATTGTATCCCAGCCTTCTAAGTTCATGCTGTAATTTGTGTTTATCAAATAAAACATTGTTTGACATGATTAATAATTGCAATTTGTGAAATTGTGTCATTTTGTTGAATTTCCATATGACATTATGTTGGTGTTTGGTAATTGGTATAGAAGAGTATCATATAAGTTGAGTGTTACCAAATCGCGAGGGCATCAATTGGCACCAAAGGGTTGGGAAGACGGCCAGTGATCACAATGATTAGCATCATGTACCAGAACTCCAAGCTTCAAAACCAAGGATGCCAAAACTAGGATTAGATTATTAGAAGGATTATTCTAAGAGAAGTTTTATGCTAACTTGGTCAGTATTGAGAAATTAGAACATTAGATTACGAAAAGGTATGTATGAGATGATATACCATAACATAACAGCAGAAGCAAAGGAGAGCTTAACAAACTCCCACAAGTCCTCGAATGCTAGCCATGAAAAACCACCCCAAGCACCATCTGATTTAGTGACAAAGATATAGATGATCTGCGCGATGACTATTAGCCACCATGATGTGTTGAGCATGATTGCTGCTCCAACCAAGCCCCACTCAAGTTTGAGTATGAATAGCCAACTCAATACGCCGTGTATCAGGACAACAACCGCGGATATCCAAGCCATTACATCCACTTTACCTTGTGCTTGCAAGAATTTTTGTATTGGGAAATTCATGGCATAGGCAAATAGTTGAGGAATCATCCACAATGCAAATTTTCCTAGGAAATTTGATAATTAGTGCAACTATTTCTGTCATAAAATCCATAAATAAGCTGCATTTAGTGATACCTTCATTTCAAGTACAAATTCAAACATATGTATTATCATATTCATGTTGCTCCAAAAATTAATCGCAATACTAGTGTGTTTTAGAAACATAACTAGATAATTTAACCTGCAGGACATACCATCATATCGTGACTTTGCCTTAATAAAGCCTTTTTGAAAGAAGGTGGGGGTGGGGGATGAAATTTTATACTAAACAGCAGCAAGTGAAATTTCTTCAGTCTCTCCAAAAAGTTGAAGAACAGAAGGACTATAGACATAAAGTGGTGTGAGTAAAATCGCGGTGATTAGCAAGATAATCCATGATCTTTGCATGTATATCCCTAGCATCCTCAACTTTCCTGCACCAAATGCTTGTCCACACAATGTCTCTAATGCACTCCCCATTCCAAGCTGCATTTCAACATGATAATTAATTACGGCATTGACATTATGCTATCAAAATCGAGTATATTTCAAAGTAACAACCTGAGGCATTGCCGAGGACACACACTAGTTACAACCATCAAACACGTATACTCTATAAAAAGGTGAGGTTAGTAGCAATACCATAACACCATAACCAAGACCAGCAATAACAGAGTTCTCCACGGCAACAGCGGCTAGCTCGAGGTCACCAACACGGCCACTAAAGGTCTGAGTAAGAGCACCAAGTGAGTACTGACAAATGCAAGTGAAGATAGCAGGACCAGCAATATGTCATAGCTTCTTTGACTCCCAACAAAACTCCTTTGTTAAGAATAACACCTTTTGCAAATCTTTCTCTTTTGGGGTAAGAAGTGGAATCCTTTCTCCTTTCTCCTTTCTCCATTATTCCTCCCTTTTTCAGATATAATCTAGCATGTAACAAAGTACATTATATAAATTTATGATAAGTTTTGTTATAATAAAGTAAAACAGGATTTAGAATTTAGAGTTGGAAAAATTAAGCTTAAGATAATAATCTTACATGGAAGCTAACAGGGGAGGAAATGAAGGAAAATTAGTGTTAGATTCTTCAACTATTGAAATAAGTTAAAAAAAAGTTTACTCAGTTGATTCTTTAGTTAGCAGCAACTTCAAAAATTACTTTAGTCTTGTTTAATTAGGGAGTGGCATTATAGGCGAAATTTGCGGAGTTGTCATGAGATTCCTAGCTAATCACATGAGTTTTGACATCTTAATAAACATATAATACTGTAGTATTACTCCACTGTAGGTGGCATTAATTGAGAATTACCATAGAGTGAGTTAATAAGTTTTTATAATGGTATTAAGCATAAGAAACCTAATAAATTGTGGCATACATTGTGGAAAAATAAATGTTTGATGCAATATATATGAAGGATTTATTCATACTGCGGGCCTGCTGTGATTTACTGAAATGAGCTGAACTAAACTGAACTGAACTGAGCTGATTGGAGCTAAACTGAACTGAACTGATTGGAGCTAAACTGAACTGAACTGATTGGAGCTAAACTGAACTGAATAGAGCTGAATGAATTGTTTATGAGAGATAGAAATTAAAAACTGAACTGAACTAAACTGATTGGAGCTGAACTAAACTGAAGAAAACAGGCCTTGCATCGACATTGACAATCTGCAACCTGCAAATCTTTGCCACCGAAACCGCAATTAATAGTGACAACATAAAAATATACTTTCTCCGTTCAAAAGTTGTTGCACAAGTTGCTCACACATTGGTTATGTTTGGTAAAATTAATAGTACAAAGTTGTTGGTTTTATGCAACCACATTTGATAACCTATACTATGTGTTTCAAAGTCTAAAGTCTCAAACCCAATACTTTGATTAGGTTAAAACAATTTTTTTATTAATTGATCCAAGCACTTATTAGTACCGATATATTAGTTACTCCATTTAACTTATCGGACGTTGCTTTGTAGAATTCATGATTCATGTGCTTCTGATTTGTCACGCTCATCTTCTACTGTAATAATTTGTGTTTAATTATAGTACGTATACATCTTTAACTCTTTTGACATATGTTGAATTTGTGTGGTTGCCGACTTGCCATCTATTCCACCACTCTATATTGCGGCCGATCCATTCCATCAAACTAAATTGCGGCCGGCCCATTCCACTTCAAGCGGCTGCGGCCCAATCAACTTTTTTTTTTTGATGTGACAGCCCAAAATAGCGGCACCACCTCAATTGTTAAACCTTTTTAACACTTTCAATTCAAATTACATTTCTGTGTCTATTATTCTTTGCCCATGCATTTTTTTTTCAGTCAAATTTTTAAATCTTTTCAAACTAATTATCATTTATAAGAGAATATGTATTAATATATATCATGTGGAATTTTATTAGATTTGTTTTAATGTCTGCCTTTAAAATATTATAATTTTTTTTTAAAGATATCTATACAATATATTAAAAGGCGGTGCCACGCGACACTCTTCAAAGTATGTGTAACAATGCTACGTCACCATCCAAAATATGTGCACCATGTAAGCTAGCCACTTCATTTAACAAAAGAAAATATGTTTTGAACAAAATTTGAACTTATAACCCCCAATACATATGGGTAATACATTTACCATTATAACCATCTTTTATTAATATATGTTTCAAATTTCACATAATATTATATATTCCTTTCATTTATTAAGTAAATTAGAATAAATGCATATTATGTAAGAATAAAAGTGACACTCGAGACAACGCTCGAACCACTACACACACTAAGGCTGCGTTCTATTCACCTGATTTTTCTGAACTTATCTGAAATTATTAACCCTTATTAGAACTTATTTTAGTTATAAATTAAACTTGGGTAGCCCTAGTTAACCCTTATCATAACTTATCCGAATTTATTTTTCTTGAACTTATCTTATCTAACTTATTAACCCTTATATGAACTTATCTGAACTTATCAACCTTGAAATAAGTGAAAATACGGTGAACAGAACATAACTATACAAATAGTCGAACATAATTATTAAATTAAAGAAATACACAAACTAGTAACTCGGGGCATCACCCATGGTACACACTAATTTACATTTTTATTTTTTAAAATGTGTTTAGAGTTTGTAAAAATTAGTAGGGTAAATGAATAGAGGCATAATTTATTTGGTATTTATGAATAGAGGCATAGTAAGTAGGTGAAATGAGTATACTATCAGATAAAGTTGCAATCATTAAGGAATAAGAGGAGAACTCCAAAATAGTACAGTATTCTAGTTATTCTACTTGTGGGTTGCGCCCCAAATTGACGGTCTCTCTTATTTTTCTATCAAACCATTCGACTAGTCGTTCTCCAATAAAATTATGTAAGAAATATTATTGATGTTTTAGTCACAATTTTTCCAATTAATAATCCAATGAAAAGAATATGAAGTGTGGTCCAACATCACATGAAGTTCCTTGAATCCTTGCTATTCTATTCCAAGTTAACCAAGATAACAAAAGAAATTGACCCACTATCAGCTATCACAAGATAAGCGAAACTATACAAACTATACAATCAACCGACGTAAATTTTGATGAATTTTTTTAAAAAAAAAGAGAAGGAAAAAAAAAAAAAAAAAACTCACACCAAAATACGAACTCTTGCATTTTGTAAGTTCTTGATACCATGTTAAACTCTCTCAATGATCGTTACTTTTCCGTTTTCATTCATTCTTCAATCTCAATTTACCATAAACTTAAATCTTGGCTCACAAACCATACATCCAGCCAGCATAAACAAATTTCTTCTTCTTAAATTATCATCTAGCTACCTAATTTAAATGATCATAAAAACAAAATTATCATCATAAAATACCTCAATGTAAATAAATACAATACAATTTATCAATTAATTAATTATATAAATACATTCTTTTGATAATTCCATACATATAAATTTTCAATAATTACTTCATCAGTAATGCGACAACTAAATACCGACATACATAGTATATACTAGTAGTGTACAAGGATACAAGCTAAAATAATATAAAAGCTATATCGCGTAAAACTTCATGCAGCATATGATGAAATCTCATTGGTCAACCTCCATTGCAAGCGTGAGGAATCAACTAACTTCCCGTCATCAACCTATAAGTGTACGGATATCATTATTAAACCATATTACATGTACAAATGTATATATATATATCTTTGCTTCTTAATTAGAACTATATTTCAAGGGAAAATCAAGGATCGGAGTTAATAATCCATACATAAATATATGATAGGATAATATGAAATAGAGAGATCGAATATTTTATATTACCTGACAACGAATGACATACATCCATCTTTGGTTAACTTTAGAGTAGGCACAATTAACAACATTAAGGCCTTCATCAAGTTGTAACATTTTGAGCACTTTTGATAAAGGAAACATATCCTCCTCTTCAACCGCGGTGTTAATCTCAATCTCTAACTCATCCACGGATGTCTTAATCTTCACGTAATTTTCATTAATGGAAGGATTAGTAATACTAATGATGGATGACGTGGACGATCCAACATCATTGGGCATTTCAGATAAAGAATTCTTAAGCTTTTCTCTCTTATCTTGAAGCTCTTTCACATTCTTCTCCAAATCTTTGATGTAATTTGCTGCCTCTTCTATATGATCACATGATGAATCTCCCTAATAACCACACGTTAATAAATAAATCAAAATCAAAATATATAATCAACAAAATAAAAACACCAACTAAATGATAATTATAATAATATAATAAGGAGATTTCATTCAATATATGAAGAGTCGACTAAATTGAAAGAAATAAATTAAATTAAGATAAGAAATTTACTTTGACATAACTTTGAGGGAGGAGAGAGAAAAGTGAAGAGTAAAGTTGGTCAGACATATTTTAATTCTTTGGCTGACCTACTCTTTTCCTTTGAGGTTTCACCCCTTTTATAGCACACGATCATTACCTTGGACAACTTTTTGGTAGCTGTCATAATAATTTTAGTTATAAAGAGTAATTAAAAGTAGGGTAATGTTATATGCAGCCCTAAGGACTTATTATATACGGAGTATTTTTTTTAGTATTAAGTTGGGAATTAATTGACAAGTCACGAGTAAATCGGTAATAAATGTTTATTTATTCTCTATTCTTTCCACTTTTAACTTCTTATATACAGCTCTTTAAATATCTTTTTCATTAAAGGTATTCTTAATTACTGCTACTTAGCTTGTATCTTTAAATAAAAAATAACCTACTTCCTACTACATGTCTACATATTTATATACAACATACAAGTAATCATCAAAAGTAATTGTCAAGAGTACAAGGATTAGAAAATTAGAATTTGTTACGCAATCTTGGAATTATGCATAAGCTCGGTGTTGAAACCCATTAAAAACCCACTTGTGAGTTTTTCATATTGAAGAAAAAGGAGAGATAGTTCAACTTTATAAGGTATAGGAGTTATTTTACAATATATTGCTAATTAATTTTAGTATGGAACCTCATTTGACCTTGTTTGTGCACTTTGTTTGTCATTAATCATATTTTCGTAATATTTCAACTTTATAAAATAGTTTTCAGTTTTATTTCTAAAAACTAAATGAAAAATTTAATAAAAGTAAATGAATCAGTCATAAAGTAAATAAAAGTTCTTACATGATAGTATGATACCATTTCTAGTTTTAATACGAAGTACTGTTAAAATGTCATTTTTTCAAGTTTTAATTTTCACATGATCTCAATTCTAGTTTTTATTAAAATGTCTTTTTCTTCTTTTTTTTTTTCAAGCTTTAATTTTAGGAATTATGAACTCTGATGGTTTGGATTATTGATTTTTGAAACTTTTTTTTTTTTTTTGAAATAAGGTTGATTTTGGAACTTAAATTAAGGGCTTGTTTTAATTTACTGAATTGAGCTGAACTAAACTGAATATATTATGGGAGAAGGAAATTAAAAACTGAATTGAACTGATTGAAGCTGAAATGAACTGAAATTAAACTAAAGAGAACAGACCCTAAGTCACATTTATAACACGAAACATATTTTTTTTTGACAATCAGTCATGTCTATAATTAACATGATGATTTTGAAAGTTTTTTTCCCCCCGGTGTTTTCATGTTTTTGCTTTCATTCAGATATTTTGAAAACTAATGACAAAATATTACGGTAAAAATCTTTTATTGACTAACTATATTGTTATACTCTGTACCCTTTATTAAAATTGTGGGTCCCTTTGATTTTTGTTTTTCTATGATACAACCAATTATTCCTTATTCCCTCATTTTTACCCCTTTAGTACTCATTTAAAGTTTCGAATAAGCAAACAAAATAAGTTTTGATGTACCATAAAACTAGCTAGTTGTGTACAAATGTACAATAGAAATTTGCCTCTCTCACTCTCTTGTAAAATTGCATCATTAGCCAAGGCCGAGTATTAAATTGAATATTAATTAAGTTGTACTGTAATTCCTACGTGTATCGAAAAATATTTTAAAATAGAATTTCATACTAATTTTTTTATAAAAGAGACACAAATACAAATGATAAGGATCAATCCCAGAATCAATCACTGCAATCAAAGAGTTCACTCTCATAAAAATATGGAGTATAAAATGACATATTCTGTACTATGGAGTATAGTTTAACACAAACAAACATAAAGAGTGACTATACTTATCTATTAAAGGACAACAACAACCAAGTATAATTTGTCAGGATATTATTATCTGCTGATGCTCAAATGGCATCAAATTCATTTGTCCTTTTTTTTTGGCAAATGAAAATTGACATTGAATCAATTCTTGATGATGCGCGAAAAACGTGGGAGCTAGACATGTTGTGTTCCACGTTATTAGCTTAAATATCAATTTTTTTTCCTTCTCTTCTTTTTATTGGTGAGTGATGATCGATTGATCTGACTCCACCTTACGACTTTAAGTTAATAAATAAAGAAAAGTAATGTATGTCACACCAAATCAACATTGATCGATGTAATTAGTAGTTTAAATTTCGTATTTTATTAAGTTAGAAGGAATATTTGGTGACTTATTGGCATTTTTTTTTACAACGGCAAATAACCAAAAAACTAAACAATAAAGCTATGTAAGTTAAAGCTATGTAAGTTGACTCTACACCCATTCTCTATGTTATGTGCCTTAGCAACCTGATCCCTCCCAACTTTTCATATGATGCAAGTTCTAAGCCTTCGTCCCACATCTAAAAGATCTTGGATCGTCCACATCATCCGCATTTTCCTTCTCTTCCGATATTGGACTAGGTTGATCAGTGCCAGACTTATTGGCAATTACATACAAAATTATTAGTGTTAAATTAGTTTAATTTGTGGTATACATATGTTGTTATTTTTAGTTTGCCCTAAAGCAAATACGTGGTATTTTACTTTTTTTTCCCCGAGATATTCAAAGAATTTGCAAGTGGTATAATGTTTTTAGCTAGTTTTTATACACTGATAATAGAGTGCGATAAAGAGGCAAAAAGAGACAACCAACATGCCAAAAATAGTGTGGAACAAAATTAATTAAGATCGGATAAACATACACAATCACAAATAGAAATAAATTAGGCAAACATAAAGAGACGCATGGTGTTATGGTTATTAGGTCATGTTCTCTTCACCTGATTTTTGTTAAACTTAAATTAATTTTATTAAACTTTATTTGCTAATTAAAACTTGATGTTACGGAACATTATTTATCTAAAGTGAAGTAATTGTGGGAGCTAATAGTGAGGATTATACATGTGATACAAAAAAGTTGTTTTACTTTAGAGATTAGAATATAGATTGACCAAAGAATCAAAGTACATTTTACTCGCACCTTATCAATCTTATAGTCGTACCATATATATTTAGCTTATATGTACGAAAGTTTGTGATTATATAGTTTGGGATTATAATATTATATAGTCTATCTTACCTAAACAGCCAGACACAAGTACGTGGTGTAGAGAAAAAGTGAAGGGGGAACAACAATTATTAATTTTATTTTATTTTTTAAAAAAATTGTGATTAAATCAAGGTTGACATTCTCTAATTATGAGAGTTGACAAGTTGTGATAATTGATTTCAAAAGAAGGGAGTATATGAACCACATTTTCGATTCGCTTCTTTGTGGTCTTGCCTAAATCAGGGTAAGGTGAAGCTAATCTTATCCATTGTAGAGCTGAGGACTGGGGCTAAAGTTGTCTTAACGAATTTCCTTAGTCCTTACATATTGTGTGAACTTTATGGTAAATGATCAATTCAACCAAAAGCTTAAGCTGATGGTGATAAAGTATATCAAACGATCTCGAGCTTCAACCATTAGTTTAGTTAAGTTTTTTTTTGGTTGTTTTGGTGTTTTAAGTTTTACTCATTAACATAATATCATAATCCTATAAAAAAAACCCATAATATTAGAGCCAAGATTAAGGCACAAAGATCACGAGTTCAATCTTATCCACTCCTTATTAAAGTGGAATTTTAAGTGCTAGATTGCTAGGTATAGTGGGGTCCATACTACATCTGCTCTCACGTGTGGAGGCGTGATAGAATCTTTTAACCCATTAAGTTTTTGGTTGAGTTAATAAATGGTTGAGACTCATAAATATGTTTAATTTTATGCTATATCACGACCTTTGTTGGTTTTTTGCCGCTTTATATTAATCATTTATTTTGTTTAAAATCTTTTAAGACAAAAGATGTTAATAAGATTTTATCCAAAAAAAAAAAAAAAAAAAATAATAGCAGAGCTTTTATCGTGCGGGCGCTATTTTATGTTAATGTCAATGCAACCTAAGCTAAAAGAAGTACGAGTACTGCAAATTAATAGTAGCACCTGGGTTAGTCTGGCTGTCTGGGTGATAGAACTCAAATACTCAGTAGTTATTTTTTATTATTATTAATATTTTATTTTGGCACAAATTATTGTTATTAACAGAATCAATTATTGTCCTCAATTATTGATTGCATAATTATCTTCAATTAATTGCAGAATCAATCACTCTTAATGAATAATATAAATGAACTAGCCCGCTTTTCTTCAAAAAAAAAAAGGTGATTATATTCTTACATTGATCACTTCGATATGGAGTAATACTTGAACTAGTGTTGCGGCCCGAGTAATGTCCCTCGAATCAAATATAGGTGGTTGATTTATATAATGATTTATTTTTATTTTTTTGTAATTAAATTTGTTTTTCATATACTCATCCACTAAATTTTAATATTTTGTATACAATAAAGGGCATAAAATTAAATATGAAATAGCTTAGAGGCAATGTATTACACTTAGTTTCAATGTACGGAGTACACATGTTTTAATATAATTAGACTTTACGCAATTAACCCATAACCGCACACGCTTGTTAACACATGGCATACATCAATACACACTTTATAGTTTATACTACGCATATATCCTCTCACGCATTCACACGTGTTATAATTTTACACAATATCTCAATAGATTAACTTAATGTGTAATTCGAATTTTTAGATATCAATTTTGAGCGACATATCTATCGACTCTACGCTTTTTTAAGATCATTCCGAATCTACACTTTAGTAATAAAAGAAAAAAATCTTTATTAGTCTTCTATCCCTTTTATCCAATTTATATCCTTGGTAATTTGGTATGTTTTTTAGTTGCGAAAATATTGTCACTTAAAAGCGCGAAACTTTATTACAAATACAATTATCAAAAAAAGATATTGTCGAACACACCCTAAGCTGACAGTGTACTGTTAATATAAATAATGTTAGGTCAACTTCACTCAAACTCACTGCATTTTGTCTTTCCCCCATTCTCTTGCAGCACTGCATTTTATTATTTTTCCAGAAATTCTCAGACACCCTTTTTCTTTTAATTTTAATTTTCATTTTAAAATTGTAGTAGATCAAACAATTGATTGAAAATGGCAAACCTTGAGCAAGTTTTTACGAATTGGCAA